TTGATGTGCGATTCCTACCCAAAAGTGGCAGAAAGAGCTATCCATGCATTGCTTCCGTTTGTGTCAACATATCTTTGTGAGTCAGGCTTTTCAACTCTGTTGCAAATTAAAACGAAGCAACGTAGTCGATTAGAGGTAGAAAATGACCTGCGTTGTGCCCTTTCAAGCACTCCTCCGCGTATCCCAGAATTGGCGAAGAAAAAACAATCACAGGTTTCTCATTGACTGTAATTTTCATCTGAATAAAATTAATTACAAATTTACAATACAGTTAACCCTCACTTTACGCGGTCCCGCATTCCGCGTTTCCATGTTAACGCGGTGCCTTGCCAGAACCTCACGTGCTCACATTACGCGGAGAGTGTCCGGCGCGATGCTATTTTTAGATTCGCGCCACCCGCCCGCCTGCCTGCCTGCCTCTCCCTCCTCCTCCCTCCGCTTGGGCAAGCGGCGCGGTAAGGTTGCGCAGTGTGTGTCTTTGTTGCGTTATCACTGACGTCATATGACGTATCAGACCTGTGATTGGCCATGCATCCCTACCCCCCTCTGCTGCTAGCTGTAATTGGCTTAAAGTATTATGACGTGTCCACCCGGGGGAGGGAGGGAGGGAGGGAGGAAAGACGACGCTTGACCTAGCCGCGGCAGTTTCATCCCTCAAGGCCACTCCGTGTAAACGCGCATCCATTGTTCCGTAAAATGGCTTCCGCCGGACCACCACCCCCAGAGAGAAACCTTTCCTTACCTGGACCCAGCGGCACTAAACCAAAGAAGACACGACGTTCCTTAAGCTACAAGGTGAAGTATAGCATCATCCAAGAGTTGGAGAAAGGAACAAGGCAGGTTGATTTGGCGCGCCAGCATGGCGTGAACGAATCTACGATCCGGACTATAAAGAAGGATTCAGCCAAGATAAAGGAGCACATGAAGATCACAAAGTCTACAGGTGCTTCTATGATCAAGTATTTTCACAACCAGGTGCTTCTCAAGACAGAAAAATTACTTGTGAGGTACTTGGTGCGTCAGGCGCGACGGAACATGGCGGTCGACACGCGCTCTGTTAAGGACTACGCACGTGAACTGTACATGGCAGTGGCACGAAAGATGGGAACTTCAGAGCCCAAACCCTTTAATGCTTCCTCTGGGTGGTTACAGAGGTTTAAGATCCGGAACAAGATCACCAATATAAACATTGGTGGTGAAGAAGCGAGTGCTGATCGTGCTGCGGCTCGGGAATTTCCTCCGTTTTTACGTGAGATTATGGAGGAAGGACAGTACACCGACGACCAGGTGTTTAACATGGACGAATCTGGTCTTTTCTGGAAAAAACTACCTTCCAAGTCCTTCGTTGTGAAGAATGCCAGCAGGATTCGGGGCCGGAAAATGCAGAAGGAACGCATCACCGTCCTGTTTACCACCAATGCCTCCGGTACCTGTAAGCTCAAGTTATCGGTGATCCACACAGCACGCAAGCCGCACGCCTACAAGAGCATGGACATGACCAAGCTAAATGTCCACTGGCTGACAGCACGTAAGGCATGGATGTTCTCTACACTGTCCCTCCTGGTTTGATGACTGTTTTGTTCCCGATGTAAAGAAATTCTGTGAGCGACAGAATGTCCCATTTAATATTTTGTTGCTGCTGGACAACGCACCAGGACACTCGCCCCTACTGTTAGATCGTCACCCCAACATAAAAGTGTTCTTCCTTCCTCCCAACACTACGTCTTTAATCCAGCCCATGGACCAGGAGTTGATTTGCAATGTGAAAGCTGCATTCTCAACAAAAAAATTCCAGGTCCTGAGCGACTACACCAACACCAGGGAAGAGTTGCGTAACCTGAGTGACACCACCACCGATAGCAAGAGCGAAGAAGATGAGGATCAACAGTTAGAACAGCAAAAAATACTCTTCAAACAATTCTGGAGAGTATTTAACATCAAGAAAGCTGTGGACTTCTTGGTGGAGTCATGGGATCAGCTGTCTATTGCTACAATTCGTCACGCATGGAGACATGTGTTGCATGGAATACCAGGTGAGAGGAGGAGTCAATCTGTGACTGGTGAGGTTCAGAATGTTGCAGTAGCAGTGGACCTTGCCAGAGAAGCTGCGCAGACTGTTACAGTTCCAGGCTTCTCCGAGACCACCAACGACGACATCCTGGAGGTGATCAGAGATCCTGAAGTGACTGCCGACGAGATGTTGGAAGAAGAACACGTCAGTGAAGAGGAGGAAGAAGGTGCGTCAGTCTCCGAAGAACACAATTTAAGTCATAGTGATATTAAGGGTGCCATGGAGTGTGCAGAGAAGATGAAGTCCTTCCTTTCCCGCGACAATGACGATGACCGCTATGAAGTCTTCCATACCCGGCTGGTGCAGGCTATGGAGCTGTACATCAAGGTGTATCACGACAACATCAACGCCAGCCGTCAGCAAAGCATAACAGATTTCTTCGCCCGCAACCCACCACAGCCAGCCCAAGCCAGTGATAGTGGCAGTGAAGATGACTTTGAGGGATTTGTCAGGGAAGCCCTGACAACTGTAAGTGACAGTGATGGTGATTCACCTAGTAATGGTGATTCACCTGAGGGCCAGTAATCTGCCCTCTGCCTCGGAACCAGCCTCCATCCCCGTATGCCGACCCATCTCTTCTACTACCGTAAGTGTTACACCTAATTTTTAGTTTTCTAACCTTACCTTTATTTTTCCTATGTTAACCTTTATCTTTCCTAACCTAACCTCTTCTATATTACTTGTTTTTTCATACCATCATAAAGTTAAGATAAATTTTTTACTACAACATAGTTGTGTGTCGTCAAAAAGTGGAGTTTGGGGATCGGCCCGGACTCCATTTCAATTAATCCCATATGTTATGTTATTCACTTTACGCGTTCCTCACTTTCCGCGGTACCCTCCGGGTTACATTAACCACGTAAAGTGAGGGTTAACTGTATCCTGGTATTCTATTGAACTTTTTGTTTATTGCATTATGCTTCAGTTTGGTCTGTTAAGTAATTCATTATAAATAAAAAAAAAACTATTTTACTTTTATTCAAGTTTTATAAATCCATCAACATTTTCAATTGGCATTTAATTTGTAAAACTCCACTATAAAAATAATCCATGTAAAATTGTAAATGTACTGTATATGTACTAATATGGAAAAAATAAAGGATTTTCAGTATTATATGCATATTATTTGGAATGCACTTTTTGAGGCAGACAATCTTGGAAAGGAGGGGGGAATGACATTCTGACATATGGTGAAAGGGGTGCATGGGGCAAACAAGGTTGAGAACCACTGCACTAGACCTTCCGCGCCAACTGTCACCTCACCTCCCCCCACCCTCTCCCTCACTCCCTCCCCATCTTCCCAGCCAGGTTTGGATGGTTATAGGCTTTAAGTTTTTATCCTATATAATATCACAGACTAAAGTTAAGAGAATATAATTTGCATTGCTTTAATCCTTGCAAGGCAGCGAATAATTAGAATCTAAACGTCATGTATTTTGCACAAGAGATAAAAATTAATTACCTGTACTACATTACAATAGTGATTTATGAGTTATAGTGTATATGTACGTATAAATATAGTGATTTAAGGGCATTTTAGTGAATTTTGGGGAGTATTTCTGACTTTACGCTTTTTTTTTTTGCTTTACACGAAGTCCCAGGAACGTAATCCCCCCGCATAAGTTGCGAGTCTACTGTATTGTATATATGTGAGTTTGTGTGTAGACACACACGCAAAACACCTACAATTAATAATAATGGGAAAATACTCTCACAATAATCAGAAACAAATTGATTACAAATGTGAGTCTACCCTCAAGTCCATGCTCTATTAATAAAGTAATAAAGTATGGACTTTAGGGTAGACTCACATTTTTAATAAATTTGTTTCTGATTATTTGAGAGAGGATTTTCCAATTACTATTTATGTGTGTGTGTGTGTGTGTGTGTGTGTGTGTGTGTCTACACACACACACACATATTTGCAATACAGGTAAAGGAAATTACTGTCTCTAGAACGAATGGCTCCCTGTCCCAGCCGCGAAAATGCCAGCAACTTTAAAACTACCCACAGACATTCTTGGGTACATCCAGGGGGTCATCCACGAATAATAGAGGACCGCAAAATAAAAATACGCGAACTTGGGGGGCCCCCTTGTATAAACATTTCGGTGACTGCGCGCCTAACAACAATTTATTTATACTTTTTATTCTGTAACTCCATTACTTTTCAAATTTTCATTTTTGCTGATTTCACCATCGTCTTCCTCGTGATTTACTCTTTCTTGCCATGTGCATTTAATGCTGACTGATTCAGTGATGTGGGTACAGCACAGAGAAATCAACAGTAAACACTGACTTTTCTCTTATACTCACTAAAATGGCTTTTATTTATTTTTTTTTTTACAGGGTTTCACATGATTTCCCAACCTTTTATATGTAGGAAGGCATCATTTGAATAAATATTTGACAATATCTTGGTCATGAATAGCGCTCGGGAAAAAAATATCTTCTCCACGATTTCTGATCATTCTATGGGCTCCAAACACAGCGAATGATAGGCCCATTAAATAAATTTCAGGCGATCCTGAGTGTGTTAAGTGGTCATGACATATCTTCCATGTATAACATGTAAGCCACTGGGATAATCAGCCCTGTTTTTCATCCTTTCGTTGTTGTTGTGGTAATCAAGGACACATCCCTGATGAACATTGAGGACTCCCTGTATGTGATCATTGGAAATACAGCACTTTGCCAGAACGTTTATGTTTGTGGCAGTTTTATTCATGGTTTTATGAAAACATTTCAGAAACCACTCTTTTGTATTATCTTTTGGTTTATAAAAAAATAAGTTGTGTGGTGCCAATTTAAAACACTGCAAATGTTTCTATAGCACAGGAAAAAAATGCAGAATAAAAATATGTACTGGTTAAACTGACATATTTGATAATATAACAATGTATTGTACATTTTGGTGTTTATATTCCAGGTGTTGGGAGATCTTCAGTTCCATTTCTACCATCGGTGGTTTGATGTTATATTCCTTGTATCTGCACTGACTACCATGGGTATTCTCTACTTGGCACACAAGCAAGTTATTACCAGTGATAAGACCGAGAGCTTTTATGAACCTAAGTGGTGACCTAAGTTCTTATTTACTTGTTGAATATTTATATTAGATGTTTAGTTTTTAATAAAAACTGTACATGTGATAAAGCTGAAGGAGGAACTTCTTTAAAAATGAATGATTCTCATATGAGGATGTGAAGGTTTCTACAATGAACATTTTTATATACAGCATGATGAAATAACCCATCACCACTTTCCAATGTGTTTTCAGTTCTAAGAGACCTTCTGAAATGACAAAGCCTCATATAATTAAAAAAAAATTAGAATCACTTCATTCTCATGCCTTGAGTCTGGATTGCTAAGTTTTCAATCACTGTTTATTGTGGTTATGTATCTCCATTCTTGTGTAGTCTTAAGTTATTCATTTATTTACCAATTTCTATATGATCCTAAATAATTGTGTTAAATGCACTGATTAACAACCATATTTCTTTTAAAAACAGACTTAAGATAAATTCTGCAAAATTTCAGTTGTGTAAAATTGTAAATGGAGCTAACTATAAAATTTCAGTTGTTAAATGTAAGAACTAAATCCAGTACCCAATAACTGCACTATTTTCACTATATCTGATCAGTAAATCCAATGTGGTACATGGCTATAAAATATATCAGGTTTATTGCAGCTGATTTGGAACCACTTTGTAGCACATGACCTTTAGATATAAACTGATGCAGAAACCCTGTCATAAGAGAATACTTACCCGGTACATGTATGTGGCTATTGAGAGTCAGTTGTTTTTTAAACTACCATACTGTACTACCCTCCCATTGATGTCACTTCATTCCCCATATTCTATACTGATTATATTCATGCATTGCAAACATTGCCGTTGTTTCATTTCTCTTGCTTTCAAAGTACAAGTAGGTGGTAGTTTGTCCACTAACATAAATTGAATAAACATGTAAACTTCTGTAATAAATATTTTATTATAAGATATATTTTACTTCAGGCTCAAAAAATGTCAATCATGCATTTACCTATTTGTTTCTATATTGAAGACTTCCTGTATTTTTCACATGCAAAGATCATGAATTCATGTTGGAGTTCTCATTCCACCAGCATTTTATATACAATACAATATTAAAACAATTTAAAAAATCATCCAAAATTTATTATAAATGCCTGCATATATGAGTGTGTGGTCACACATTCTTAGATATTTATATGATACAGTATATGGATCAAAATCAGTGTTGAGATGTGATCCTGTAATTCTGAAATTATGCAGTAAATATTTATCTAGCGTTAAAATTGCTATTTTAAAATACCATTTTTACAAAGTAGCTTGAGACTAAATCACTTTCCTTAAAACCGGTATTGGGTTATGTTCCTGTAGAATTGCAGTGAAATGCATAAAAATATAAATAACCTTGGGAAGAAAATATATAGGCTTGTATTTTTCACTTCTCAAGATGCTCAACAATGATATTTTGTACGTCCAGAAGTGAGACGTCTTCTTCATCTTTGAGAAAAAGGTTCAAGAGTGGAAAGGATGCAGCTTTCCCCCGTTCAATCTTTCCCTTCCACAATCTCAGCTTCGCCTTGAATGCCTTGAGTTTTTCTGACAAAGTGAGATAAGTGTCATCCCTTCCTTGCATGGACATGTTCAGCAAATTCAACTCAGAGAATATATCTGCCAGATATGTCAGCTGAAGCAACCACCTTGGTTCCGAAAGCCGTGATGCCAGTGCATGTTTCTTCTCGTTCAAGATGATTTCAACCTGTGTACGCATTTCAAACACTCTTTGGAGCACTTTCCCTCGAGACAGCCACCTGACGGCAGAGTAGTAAAGCAGGTGTTCATACTCCGACCCCATATCAGAGCACATCTGGTTGAACAGCCTTGAATTCAGAGCTGATGATTTAATAAAGTTTACTATTTTAATCACATCTTCCATCACAGAGTTAAGCTCATGTGACAGTTTCCGGGAGGCAAGGTTTTCCCAGTGGAGCAGACAATGAACCACTATCACTGCGGGGTTGACTTGTTTTACTCTCGCAGTGAAACCCTGACGTGCCCCTTGCATTGCCGGTGCTCCGTCTGAGCACACACTGAAACACTGATCCCAGCTTAGGTTTTCTTCCTTGATGAAGCTATCAACCAACTTGAACAGATCCTCACCTGTTGTTGTCGTCTCCAGTTGTTTACAGAACTGGAAGTTCTCTTCCTTGTCGCTCGTCCCTTGGTACCGCGCATATACCAAGAGCTGTGCATCGTCACTGACGTCAGTTGACTCATCCAACTGCAAGCTGAATTTTCTTCTCTTCTTGATGGCAGCCACTACTTGTTCTTTGATGTCTGCCGACATTTCTTGAATCCGTCAGCTAACTGTGTTGTTTGACAGTGGAATAGTTTCAATCTTTTTCACTGCATCATCTCTGATAACAGTGCGAACCATATCAAGGACTGATGGCTTCACCAAATTTTCCCCATTTGTGTGTGGCTGTTTACACTTGGCAATTCTTTTTGCAACCAGATAGGATGCAATTGTTGCTTGCCGAACAGAAAACACTGCTGGGTTCATAGGGGTGTCTAACCGCTGAGGCTTCAGTTGTTCTTCTTTCCTCTTAAAATACTGGCGGCCTTTCTCTTCCAGCGTTGGATGTTTTCCCTGGAGATGGCGCCTAAGCTTGTTTTCTTTGAGCGACTCGTGGCTGAGCACTTTGCCACATATAACGCATTGAGGTTTTTCGACCACATGATCGATGAGAAGCGTAAACCCAATGTCAAGGAATTCTTCTCTGTACACCTGCTTTCTGGACACCACTGAAGAATCTGAAATTAAATATATACTTGCTTACTGATGCATCAGGCAAGAGATGCTCTTTGGGTACAAATTTAAAAAAACGCAACGCACATGTATGGAAGGTAAAATTAGCATCAACTTGTGCAACAACCAACAAGTATCACTGACATACTGTGGTACAGTACTTCGTCGTCTACCCCTTTCTGGACAAAGAGGGTCCAGACAAACTGACCAGCAGCAAGACCGGCTCCCACCGCTTGCACACCAGCCCCACCAAGTACCTTCGTGTGGGGAACCCAAAGGCAAAAACAACAATGCCAACCCTCTCAACCTGTCAACACCCAAAGTACAGCCCAGTTTCCTGGCCTCCCTGCGGCCACACCTCAGCCACCCAAGCAGCAGACAACGACAACAACTGCGAAAAAGACAAAACAAGCACACACCAAGGTACCAGAAGGAATGATACATGTATCAGACCTAGCCAAGGTATTGACAACCTTTGCGGAGGGGCCTAGCCGGACTTCTGGGCCACAAGATCCAGCCTACACAGCTCCAAAAACTCATGGGGAGCGTCCTCGGGCAAGTCACCACAGCTCCAGCCACCTCAGTGGAGGACACCATGCCGGCCCCCACACGAGTGACAGCCGAGGTACACTCTACACCAAAAAAGGCCACCAGGGAACCAGAGATACCATCAGCCCCCAGAAAGAAACTGGAGGTTTCAGCTCCCCTGAACCGAACCACGGCCCAGAAGGCAAAAAACACCACAGAACAAAGAAGATATGAACTTGATCCAGTCGGAATCAGACCTGAACATATCCATCGAGGACCACCAGAAGTCCCCGATGAAACAGTGGTGGAAAACACCAGCACCCTGAACATCCTTTCAAGGAATGCTCAGAACATCAAAAACAAGAAACACCTTCTGCAAGAAGCAGCAGCCAAGGACAAGCTTGATATTATGCTGCTACAAGAAACACTCCTACAAGAACACCACTGTTTCAAATTCAGTGGCGACAAGACATACAGGAGGCATTTCGCGCAGGCGTCGACAAGAGGATGTATGATCTTGGTCAAGTCGAGCATACCCTCCTCCAAGGTCTTGCAGCATTTGCCATGTGGGGAAATCATTGAGACAAAGGCCGTTAAAGTAACCCTCCAAGAATGGGAAATAACTGTCCACAACATCTACAAGAACCCAAGGAGTTCACTAGTGGTGACTCAATTATTCGCTTCAGCCGCTGACCACGCCACACTCATAGGAGGGGATTTCAATGCACATCATCCCTTCCTAAGTTCGGTAAGCCCCACAAATGAAGATAGCCTACACCTATACACCACCTTTCAAGACACACCCGAGATCGCCCTCCTAAATACCGGAGAGCCCACCCACATTAGGGGAGGAAGGCCAGATCTAACTTTCATCTCCAGTGCACTACAGCCTTCAGCCTCCTGGCAGCTACACCCCACGCTGACCAGCGACCACTTTGCCACCCTAAGAACACTGAAAGTGAACAAACTCCCCACTCCACCCCCGCCGAGATGGAGATACAATACCCAAAAGGCGGACTGGGAACTCTATAAGAAACACCTGGCTAAGTGGTGCACCAAATCACAGCTGGCTGGTGCATTACCCGTGGACGAGACAACCCTCCACCAACAGTTGGTCGAGGCGTTCCATCAAGCGGCAGAAGTGGCTATTCCAAAAACAAAACCTACATCAAGACAGTACAAGGATTACTGGTACTACTGTTCCAGGGTGAAAGAACTCAACCATAGAGTGAACATGACCCAAAGAAACTACAGAAGACATCCCACAGACACAAACAGACATCTCCTGCAAGACATAGTCAAGGATACCAGGGAAGAGAAGGAAGAAATCAAAAGCGCAAGCTGGCTCAAGTGGTGCTCCAAACTGAACGAGCACATCTCCCTCAGCAAAATGTGGGCCCAGATCCGAAGGGCATCTGGGAAGGCAACACCACCACCCAACCCAGAAGAGGAAGCTGAGAGACTTACAAAACTCTTCTCCAACCGAGCAGCAACGAAAAACTTCCCGAGACATGCGGAGGAGACACAACGGCGTTTGCGACAGACCAGACTCCAGATGATCGAAGAGGCCTGCAATGTTGAAGATGACACCAACAGACCTTCAACCAGCAAGAACTCCAGAAGTTGATAAAACAAAGCAAGGACACAGCACCAGGGGCCGACAGGATAACCTACTCCATGCTTTCCCATGTCGGAGGAGCCGGGCACGAGGCTTTGCTACAAGACATCAATGCTTCGTGGATAGCACAGAGACTTCCACCAGAATGGAAGAAGGCAGATATACAGCCCATTCCGAAGCCCAGAGAACCAGACCCATCTCCCTCCTCAGCTGCATAGCGAAGACGGGAGAAAGAATGGCTCTCAACAAACTCAAGTGGAAAGTCGGCAGCCCACAACCCTCACATTTTTGCTTACACCGAGAACACCGGCACAAGCAACAACATTGTTGAGATACTCAGCACAGTGGACAATAAACCAGCTTTGGTGGTCTTCCTCGACTTGGAGAAGACCTTCGAACTAGCAAATCCACTGGCCATTATAACGACGCTCGCCGAAAAAGCCGTCAAATGATGGTTGCTGGGGTGGATCAAGAACTACCTTACACAGAGAGAAGCAAGAGTACGCTTTCAGAAGGCAACGTCATGCTACAGGGTCCACGAAAAAGGAACCCCACAAGGAGGCATCCTCAGTCCAACGCTGTTCAATGTCTTGATGGAAAATCTAGTTAGACTTCCTTTCAGAGCAAACAGACTAGTCAACACGAAATACACACTCCAACTTATAGAAGAGGAGTGCAACAGACTTGGACTCAAGATAAATCCAGCAAAGTCGAAAGCGATGGCCATCTGCACAGACACACCAGACATGATGCTCTCCGTACAAAACACGCCGGTAGTCTGGACCAACAGCCACCAGTGTCTTGGAATCTGGTTCGACCAGAAACTCACTTTCAAGCCTCAACTCGAGTATCTCAGGCACAGGACGAAGAGCAGACACAACATAATGAGGTCGCTCACCAGCACAACCACAGGAGCGAACATACACGTGCTCAAAGCCTACTACACGGCCGCCATCAGATCGCTGGTAGATTACAGTGCTCCAGCGCTCATTGGACTGAGAGAAGACCAGATAGCTAAGCTAGAAGTTATCCAAAATAATGCTCTCGGGACCATGCTTGGAGCACCCATGTGGACCAGAATTTGCAATTTGCAAATGGAAGCTGAGCTACCACCCCTGGCAGTACGAGTCAAGCAGGTGACAGCCGGTCTCCTCGCCAAAATCTGTAGATCAGATAAGCCCACAGCTGCCAAAACGCGAATCAGTGCCTCCCTCCACCTCGACCACAAAATGCGAGAGGCCATCTGGTCGCACGAGGCAAGCGAGGTCATCAGGCACCTGCAAGCAGAAACATTCGTCAAGAACAACCAAGACATACGAGACAAGGATTATGTAGTTCCACCACCATGGAGCCCTCCACCAGCCACATTCAAAATCACCTAACTAGGTGATAGCAAAGCCAACCTCCAGAAGGAGGGCCTCAAAAGAATAACTCAGGAAGCCATAGCCACAGACACCCGGCTGATGCAGCATCATACTTCACAGGCAGCTCGGTGAACCCAAAACAACATAGATCTCAGGCGGCCTTTTAAGGTCAGACCTCTATGGTGACTTTCTAATGACTGCTCCGCCTACAAACAGAGTTGGTAGCAATCTCAAGAGCCCTACAACATGCTGCAACACAACACAAAATCGTCCATGCAAGCTGCAACACAGTCAATCAGAGACAACGTCCACATCATAACCTCGATCCTCGCACAGCTTCTGGGACTTCAAGAACCATACCCAGTCGTCTTACACTGGATTCCCAGTCATGTAAGGGATCGAGAAATATTTATGGCAGATAAACAGCCAAAGGCAGCCACGTTCTGGCGTACATTCAAGTTCAGCAAAGTGCAACAGATCCAGAACCACCTCAGAAAAGCTACCAAGCTCCACATCAAAAGAGCTTCCTTAGCATTCAATATTGGTTCCCAATCGGCCAAATGGTACCTGAGTGGCTACAAAGGGGAACCTGTTGAACTAGAAAACACCAAGACAAACCCAAGTTAGCCCTACGACTGGGTACAAGTGCACCTGGCAGACGATCGAAAATGTTTGTCAGGGAATGCACCTGTCAGGCCAGTGGCCAACCCACTGGAACACTATCTCCTTCAACTGTGAAGTCACAAAATCTCTGAAACATAATTTGAAACTTCCAAGAAGAACACACAACACCAGCTGCCACTTTATTTGAGCGGCCAAACAAACCACATTCACCACCTTCTCCCTGGTCATCACCACGATACCCACCACCCAGATAACAGGAAGTATCTCCTCCCCAGCAAAAGTGCAGACCCCAGTTTAGGAAGCGCACTACTCGAAAACAGCGGCGTCCAAGAGTGGGGTAGGTGGTAGGCATTCACTGACCGGGTCGATCACACTTGCAAACCTGCAGTATCCTTTCATATCTGCAGGTAGGACTGTAGGGTTTCGTGATGTTATGTTTTCTAGCACTCAGGATGGGATGGATGGAAACTCTTGGTGGTGGTTTTCTTATATAAATATATTATATAAGACTGTCTGGTGCTGGAGATGCCGTGTGGTGAGAAGCTTGCTCAGAAGACACGTTCAGTGAGTAGCGTGTCTTATGAGGTATCTGTGCAGGAGCTTCGTTAGAGGAGTTGTTGCGTGTTGCTGTCCTCCAGGTTGAATGAGAGCTGGAGGACAACGAGGAGCTTGCTTGGAGGAGGTGTTGCGTGTTCAGGAACATAGGGCAAAATGCATCTCAATGGAGAAACTGAGAGCTTAAATACACAGCAGCGGAGTAAACCCGTGGGAACTCGCCGGTTGCTTGACTCCGTTAGGGCAAACGTGCGGAGGTGGTGACCCGTTGAGCAGCTCGCTGGTTGCTCGATACTGTTCGCATTGGATGCGGCTA